AATATTTAATCTACACTTAGGGATGCAATAATTTTGTGATTGTCTTGTTACGTAATTTGATTCGTGTGATCGAATGTTTGGAAATATTTCTTTCAGATACTCGAGTACCATATTATGAAAAATTTTGTACATAGTTGTTCTTACTTTCGACATTCTTCTAATAGCAAGTGGTTCCCATCCAGTTTCAAAATAGAGAGAATCTCGCGATGCTAAAGAAGTTAATCCAGTGACTATTCTTGCTGCTGCTAACTGTAATTTTTCTAGTTTTTCGGAATCTTGACTAGAACACCCACACCAAACTTAATTTGCGTATTCTAACTGAGGTCTTATTAAAGTAGTATATAAAAGAGTTAAAGTTTTAGCACTTACCCTGAACTGCAATTTTTTAAGTAGACCTTATTTTTTATATGCATTGGCAACGATAGAATCAATGTACGCTGACCATGTAAGGTCGTGTGAAAAGAGAATACATAAGTGGTTGTGTGATGATACAAAATCTAAATAACAGTCTTGAAATTTAAGCCTTGGTAGTTCGAAATTTTTCTTAGTACTAAAAAAGATAGCTTTGGTTTTCGAAGGATTAAATTTCAATAGCCACTGTTTAGACCACTGTTCAAGTTGATTTAAATCATAATTCAATCCTACTTGAATATTGTTTTTGTTATATAAAATACAAGGATTTAATTTGTGTTTTATTCTCGATGGAATTTACATTGTGATTGACTTCTCCATCATTAAAATAACATATATAATAGGTTTAATACCTTTTTTATTTTTAATTACAGATAAATTCAATGTTTAAATATTTTAATAACCACAAATATTTATTTCAACTAAAAAGGTTTTTGCGTTTTTTCATTCACATTGAAAGAGTCAAATTCCAATTAAAAAAAAAAATTCTAACAGATAAAGGATATTGCATTTAAAAATTGCATAATATCTGTTGAAAAAAGGGCTACCCACAATACTTTAATAAACTGCGCAGTTTTCCGAAAATGAATTCCCGGGTAATCTGCGTAGTTTTAATCATATTTTAAATTCAATCTATATGTGATACATACAAAGGTAAGTGTATATAGCACTGACTTACCCTGGAAGCATTTGAAATCAAATTTCTCTTTCTCTTTTGAAATTCTCAATAAAGGGCTTGGATATTTTAGGTTACTCCTGTAAGTATTTTTCTAAAGAAGGATTTTTTAAAAGTATATACTGATCACATGTCAAGTATTTGTAATTTCCTTGTGTACATAAATCATGTAGATAATTGAAAATTTTCAAACAGATAGTAATATCATATCTGAGATAAATTTTAAACATTTAACATGCCTAATACTCGAAAATCAGAAATGAGTGACGATAAAAAGGATAAAAGAGTAGGGCAACGCAAAAGAAAAAGGTATAATGATATAATAAATTGGAATGGGATGATTGTAAAAGTAATCTGGCTAAGGAAAAATAAACATGTTACGTCATCTTTATCAATTAATATCAATAGTTATCCTTTTTTTCTATTGAATTGTTTTAAGTAATTATAAGTAAGTAAAACAATAATGTCTAAAACAAAATTTTAATGATACAAAGATTGCTTATAACATAAATTATTTCAGCACACAGAAAGATGATATTATTTCATGGGATGAGTATTTTATGGGAGTCGCTTTTCTGTCGGCGAAAAGAAGCAAGTATGACGTTCGAACGGTAGGCTATCGTTTCAATTCTTTAATTTTGAACTTTCTCAAAGCATACATGTAAATGTTAGAAGCTTTTTTGTAGCCTAACGCATGACGTAGTTTGTAGAAAAAAATAATCATTTCCTCTTTAAAAAGAAAAAAATTAAAGTGACACTGTGACGGACAAACGGAAAATTGACAACAGTAGAATTTTTGCAGGACACATGCAAATTTTGTTCAGTTCTTGAAGATATTAGGTTTCAGAAAATTACAGGTTTCAAAACCTAAAAAATCCAATTTAATGGAGAAAAATAAAAGTAAAAAAAAAAATCTGTATAACCCATCACAAAAATATTGTTTCACTTCCTCCTCTTTATTGTACGCTTGCGCTGAAAAGTTTACGCAGGTATGCTAAGGCAGTACACAGATCATATTTCGGCGAATTTAGTCTTTTTTCGTAAAATGTAACATTGATAAATCGGAAAAGCCATAGATAAAACATATATTATTATTTTCCAATGTATAAACGTCATTGAGTCATAGGCTAAAAGAAGCACTCCACTACGACGTGACCTCTATAAATAGAAAAATTGCCTTAATGAAAAACTGAATAGTTCAACACTACCCCGGGGAGAATTCATTTCTTTTAGTGAAAATAATTATGTAAAAACATCACTGGGTCATGAAAAGTGCTGCTAGCATCCTACTCCCCCGACACAGAAAAAATTATTCCAAAGTTTCGCATGAAACCTTACCAAAATTATTACATTTTGTACAAACGATCAAGGAATTGTCATCAATTCATATTAATCACACGATTGTAGCAGCACTTTCCAAGTACTATAGAATACAAGCTTTCGATACAAACAATAATTATGTGTCAAAGTATGCGGCGTAGTGTTGAACTTTTGCAACTTTATTGTTATAGAACGACAGAGGAAAGGCTGATCGGGATTTCAAAGCACTGCCTGTGTTCATTATAAGAAAACATGATAAGAAAATATCAGCGTATCTGATTCTTAATCTTTAATTCCTTATGAATCACACATAACATTCACGGTATATGCTTTAAAACTCCTATTTTATATATTTGTTTACATGAATTCTCGTTTAATTTTCACTCGGCAAATATTTGATCAATAGTTATGACGTCATGGGTCTGGTATTTAACCTCCGTGATAAATACTTAGCTATTTATACCACCCAAAAACGACAAGATTTTGTTTATATTATGTTTTTGAATGATTTCTTTCATTTCTTGGACCTGAAATTAAACTTTAAATATAGATATTAAGAAATCATTATTTCTATACTTCACGTCATACAGCTTACTATGACGTCATATTGTAGAGGCAAGTAGGATATCTCTGGGTGTAGCCTTAACCCACCCACGTAAGAATTTACCTTGATTTCAATTCCAGAGATATAAAAGTCGGATGACTGAGAATTTTGATACAATCTTCAAAAAAAATTGATCATAACTTATTCCTTACTTCTGCTTGCCCCAATTTAATGTTGTTTACAAGTGTCACGCTAAAAAATAAAGGACGCGGGACCTTGACATTGTTGACATTGACGATAAAAACAAAGCGATAGATACAACATTTGTTTTTCCGGCACTTATATTTTGCAGTTTTTTTTTTCTTGCTTTACAGTGCAGTTGAGTTGAGTTGTCAAACTTCGATATATTCATAATCATATTTCACAGAAATCTTTTATTTTGTGATGCAATTTTCTTAAAAGAAACACATGGTTTTGTCTCATTATGCAACTTTAATGAAACAAAAGATGAATTGCCATGACTTATGTCTGGGGCACCTTTTTTACGAGGATTTGAAAAAAAATCTAGGATAATTTTGAAAAGAATGAATTAAAAAGACATGTTATAAACAGATTTCGAAAGTTCGGATATTTTAAAATTATGAGGAAAACTGCACTACCGTTCATTTTTTTTACACACTGAAACATCAAATTTTGTTTCTGTTTGTGACTGTTTGTTGTTTATGAAAAAATTGATGAATAAAATGAAGGTCTCATTACAATTCAGGGATATATATCAAGACAGAATAGATATATTTACAACGTGACAATTTTTATCAGTCGATAAGGAAGGTTCATATGTTAACAAACCAAGCAATCAATTACTAGGGTAATTATCAAAATACTATTATGAAGTTTTTAGCGGTAATTTTTATTTTATTATAATCAACGATTTACGAAGCTATTGATTTATTATCTACTTATATAAACGAAGCCAAACATTGCGATGATAAGAGCTGACAAGTAGCGTTGATCACATTTGAGAAAAAAAAAAGTAAAGCGTGAGTGGACAGGTGAGCAAGGTTATGAAAGGTTACGTGAGTTACGTGAGTTCAAGCCATGTAAGCAACAATCATTTATAATTAGGAAGACCATTTGTATTTTCGAAAGTGGGTGCGGGGCTAAGAATGAATGGAAATTGAATGTAAACTGTGTGACCCTACCAAAAACTATATTATATATCTAACATATGATCTTATTTTCGGTAAAAGTGGTATTCAATGAAGGTAAATATATCAAAGATTAAGTATATGCAAAACGTTGTGTAAAATTCGCATATTTATTTATTTTTTTTTTTGTCAATCTACCGAGAATTCTATTGGCACATTATCTTTTTTTGTTGCATTCACTTGTCCAAGTCTGTACTCTAGTGGATGTTTCCGATGACACCCAGAACGAATTAAAAGGTTAATAGTTAGATCTTTCTGATTTGATAAACACTTAATTAAGAATTAAACTTGCTATTATGCTTAAAATGGTCCAAAATTTATCTATCCACCCTTTATCTATTTATCTTTTATAATTCTCGAGCACCATTTCAAGGTAATAATGTATGAAAAAAAATCCTTGAATAAATCTAAATAAATCGTTACCTACTTATGACCTCCTCTGCATGCCATGATAAAAACTAACAAAAGTTTGATACAAAATTTCAATTTAGTGTTTAACTGCAAAGAATCAAATATTTCTTGTATTAATTTACATCAAAATTAAAATCATTTTCTGTTTTTACATCCCCTTGGTTTATACTAGTAATACACATATGCATGTTTTATCGAAATCTAAAAATTATAAGCTATAATTACTGTCCTTCAAAATCCTAACTGAAATTATCTTTTACCTTAGATATCATACGATGCTATTGAAAACTAGTCTCTGCAAAGAATACAATACAAAAAGTTTTTTTTATTCGCATTTAAAAAAGAAATATCCTTTAAAATATTTTCTCGTATAAAAAATTAATATTGTATAATTCAAACTTCTTGTAATTCTATCACGTCAAACTTTCAGGTTGGAACATGCATAATAAACAGCGAAAAAAGAATCGTAACAACTGGATACAATGGTTTTATTGACCCGGAGAGAAAAAAGAGCAAGCGGGAAAATGATCCAACATTTTCAAAAAACAAGGCAGAGCAAAGTCTTTTTGGTATTCCTCTTGCTACTTCATACGCCAATAAAATGTCCAATTCGCAAGACTATTTAACAAACTTAAATTAGGTTAAAATGTCTGTTTTATATTGTGAAAATTCTGAGATTTTTTTTTTAGTTTGTCATGCTGAAATGAATGCTGTTATAAATAGACATGGGACCAGTTTAAAAGACTGCATCGTGTATGTTACACTGTTTCCGTGTAATGAATGTGCCAAACTGCTGGCCCAATCACGAATAAGTAAAGTGATTTATTATGCCAATGACAAAGCTGAGACACCAAAATACAAAGCATCTGCAAAAATTCTAAAATTTGCCGGAATAAAATTACAGTATGTACTATTATCATTTACTCAATTCTACAGTAAGCTACATTCAATTAATCAATGTTAAATGGCTGTATCTTAAATTATTATTGTTTTTTTTCAAATTTGTCAATATGGTTAAGATTAAAACGTTTAGATTGAGGAGTCTATTCCTTCTGTTTATATTTTGGACAGACTGTGATGAGTATTATCCAAGATAGTAAACAACTAGGCAAACAGTTTGCATTTCCTTATATTTAAACTACTGTGATGAATTTTGTATGGGTTCATTTTTGTTGTTTTGGTGGAATAAAGAATGCTACAAATTCGTATTCAAAGAATTCAAACTGCAGTATCATGTTCCTCCGTTTCTCTCAAAGAACTTTTTTTTTTTTTTTTTTTTTTACAATTTTACCACACTAAATTAGTGACTTTTAGAATGTTACTTTTTCTCTGCAATTTTTTCCTTGCAATATATTTAAAGTTTTACCTATCATTGACAAGGCCACAAGCAGGAAAAGATGTTTAAAGATATCGGAATTATTCGAATCGAACAATCTTTCTTCCACACAGACGTAAATTTAAGGTCTTTTAATAACTTTTTTCCTTAGAAAAATATTCCAAACATTTCTTATTGGAGAATATAATTCTTCAACATTTTGAAAATGCTATCATTGAGAATGTTCATTTATATATAATGTATTTAGTAATTGAGAAGTTTACAAGGAATGCAAAAATTTAACTTATCAGAAAAGCGTATGAAAGTCATTTCTTAAGATAATGCATGCTAGAATATAATAATAATATCCAAAATAACAGAAAAAAACTGTTTTGTTTAAAATTAAAACGGACTCTCATTACCACTTAAAATTGTAGTCAGGAACTTCATGAATGTACGCATGGCACCTGTTGTCTAATTTGTCTTTTTTTTCATCAGGTTAATTTATTTCTTCTTTCAGATGTTACAAACGACTCAAACGTGAAGACAGATCTAGAGCTCTCGTGCGGAAAAAGATCATGCTTGGATTTGAAAAGATTGGTTTTCAAAGGACCTGAAAAAAAAAATTCAAACTTCTGCGTATATTTTTACTTTCTCTTACCTGATGGTTTTTAAATATGTGATATGTGTTTCCAACATTTACAAGTCGTATGGATTATTTTCACTCTAAAAATTCTAGGAATAATTAAAAAGAAACTAATATCACCTTATTTTTGATTAACAAAAGGATGCATTTAAAAATTATGAATGTCCTGTATCTATGTCACTGAAAAGAGTTCGTGTATTTAAATGTTCAGCTGTCAAGATAAATTTGTTAAATGTCAGTACTGTCCATATCATAGATCTTTTTGTAGTTCATTATGTTAACTGTTCACATGCTGATTTGTTCAATTTTTAAACTTTCATTGTACTAACATACCCCATGTTGGGGATTTAGTGAAATAAAATGTTTCAAGTTTCAAGTGAAACATGTCAAATGAGAATAAAAGTATTTGTATCTGGCAAAGGTTGTTGCCTATGAGTTAATGCTCCTTATTTAAAGACTTTGTATTTTAAGACTTGATCACCTGAATGATCTGTATACCTTAACAGTTTAATGATCATAATGTGAATGTGGCTTGAAAAGTATACATTCAACATACTTCCTTATAAAAAGCTTATACATATTTACATGCATGCATTTCATATGAAACTTGCACAACATGCATAGTACTTCAATATTTCAGTAGGATATCGAAAATGAATCCTAAATTCTGGAGGAAAAAACTATATATGCCTTTACCTAACAAATTCTGTATTTTGGAATGACAAACAGGAGGTTTTTATGACATTTTAGCTACACAGAGCATTAATGAGCTATTCTGACCAATATTTGTCACTAGTTTATCGTCCTCGTAGTAGAGTTTTCACATTTTAATCTTTAATTTAAGAACCAGTACTCCAATTTTATTCAAATTTGCTACGAAGCTTCCTTGGATGGAACAGATTTAGGTTTGTTAAATGAAAGAGAAAATGAAGTGATGAGCACTGGGGTATTGGCAACAAAAGTAAGAATTTCAAATATATGTTATTTTTCTCAGTGAGAGAGATGTTTTCTTAATTTTTCATAATTTCTAATTTATTTGTTTCAATACGTAAGAATGCCTCCGATCCCTTGTGATAAGGAAAAAAAGGAATCGTCTTTACTGGACCTGTAGGATCAAGAAAAAGTGCGCCCATCGATACCTTGCTTCAACAAGATACAGCACAATCTGGAAGCAATTTAGAAGCAGAGTCCCTTACCAAAGAAATTACGATATATGAAACAGGAAAAGAAATTTTGGGGGATACAACAGGCTTAAGAGATGATGCTATACCGTTTGTTTTGGAAATTTTACAAAATGTGTCACCCGATTTTGTTGTTATAGTGTTTGCTGTAAATAGATTAAGAAAAGTCTGTTATTCATTTAATCATGTCCGACCTCAGAAGTCTTTTGGATAAATCTCTTCAATTAATTACCAGAGGTGGTGATCTGAAGGGATATAAACACATTTTTCTTAATGATAAGAATAAGTTAGAAATATATTCTTTGTACTGCAGTGTAGCAAAAAGTGCCTTGTTTCTGAAAACTGTTCAACTATGGAAGAAAACATGAAGTTCACAGAAGAATTCAAGGGAATTTCTCAGCTATTCATAAACAAGGAAGCTTCAATAAGGAATAATTTCATGTATAGAATTCAGAATTTTGCAAGGAAAATTTTGGACACAAAGTTGTAATTTTTATTTGTTTTGTTCAATTTATCCTTTCAAAACCATGTAAATGGCACGTAAGGAACAAAAAATAAAGTACAGATAAAACATTGGATCGAGAGGTGTGGTTCAAGTCTAGGAGCAACCATTGTTATTAACAATAATATCGAATGTATTTTTGTAGCATCTTGTTCTTCTCGTATTTTCTTGCCAAAGCAGAACAACTGAGTGATGCTTACATATCCCGTTGTTTAGTCCAGTAGCTATGATGATTAAGCAATTTATTTATTTTTAATAAACCCCTTTGTTAATGTAATGGATAGGAGAAATATTGCTAGAAAATGTTTCCAAGAAAAAAACTGAAAGATGTTAATAAAATCTTTTTACATCCCCTTCCTGCTTCGAAATGAGGATAATATGAAACACATATCACAAGGGAGTTAGAACAGTCATACATCATTCGTGAAGTAATTCTGTTCATGGAAAAAATTGTTCAAAACAATAAGCAATAAAATGAAATAGATATTGTGGTGTTATGTAAAATTTTACACAGATGTAATAAACATTGCACGGGAAATCATTGATGTAAATTTTTGTGAAATAAATAGATATGAATACGAATCAATGAATGCTCTTTTACTCAGAAAACGGTAACCTTTTAGTTACCTTGTACATGTGCTACATGTCTTCTGTTCTTCTATGATCAAACGAGCATTTTTTTTTTTACATTTAGCTACGGAGATATAAAATTAGTATGACTGAATGGAACATACTGCTCTCTTCCCAGAGATCAATCTCTCCCGAGACAGTTTCAACTTTCAAGTAAAACGTGTAAACCTGCGTATAGAGAAGGGTCAGTAGATTATTTGTAGTGCTAGTTGTTCTTTCTTGTTTTTTTTTCTTTGTTTTAGTGACTTTTTTATTTTTTTTTTGTCCCATGGACATAACTTCGATAAGATTTAGTTCCATCTAACCTTAAATAGATTTACCTGAGAAGGTGGGGGGATAATCTCGTAAATCTGTCGTAAAAAACGTTAAAATATTGCATTTTAACTGTGAAAAATACATATTTGATGCACTCCTCTATGCACATAAAAGATGTCAGAATTTACCATGATGACTTCACGACGAAAAGTGTATTACAGCCAGATCCATGTTAATACCTTACTGTGTTTGATTTAACAAGGGACAAAAATGAATAAATTGGAACGTTTTGACGTGGTTTAAAACTTTTAAATTAATTAGAAACGCAAATTATTAAATTTTCTGGAAGTATGTATTTTTTGTGATGTCCCAGTTAATATTCCCCTCTCTTTATTAGCCATAACAATGTTGCGTAGTTTATGTTTTAGTCACAGACACGGATTGAAGATTAAAGTGTGTTTGTGTGTGTGTGTTTTTCTTTTGTTTCAAAGAAAAATATTCGCAATAGAATATTATTGCCCGCAAAATATCTTAAATCTGATAATTTTCAGCCTACTACAAATGTATTGAGAATCTTGCACGAAGTAACATCTATTGTATTTTTATCTATATATTGATAGGGGCACCTGATGAAACTCCCTTTGAATATCAGTGCTGATAATAAAGATCAACTTTACTTTGATGGATTAAAGATGTTGTAAACATTTAACAGAAAATATTTGTCAGTCTTCTTCAATAAATTAAGGAACACATTCCTAGGTGAAATCTATTTAAAGAACATTTATTTATATACATGCATGCAGAAGCCGTTAGAACCCTTCGCGAATTTTTGCAATGGCAATCAATGTACTTTAAAGCAATAAGTTGTATTTATTTGCTGCTGACAACATGGTATCTGAGATTTTTCTCTAAACCATTGAAATAATGTTATGTATATGTTTGTTTGACACAATGCATCAATAAACACGTATTTAAGCATACTTTTAAACATACACAAAAAGATGTTTCATGCACAAAAGAGAACGATCAAAACAAGGAGAGAAAAGCGAAACTACAGCGCAAAGACATAGTATGAAAAAATAAGGGTTGGAAAGTAAGCAACGAATGATATCTGAGACCTGAGCAACGAACAATATATCAAATGAAAATGTCATCTAAAGCATTGAATGTAAATTGTTCATTGCTATTTTAACTGATCTATTTTGAAATGTTTTCAAATTTTGTGTGTGTATCATGTAGATGCCTCGTGAAATTTAAAAAGAAAATCTTCATATTGTTTTGTTTTCGCAACTTTCTGACAAATCCCTAGTATTTCATTACAAAACTCCCACCTTTGGATTTTCCAGATGTCCGTGTTTTACATGTATCTGTTCA